AACTTTCCTGAACCTAAATATTAAAAAAACCCCTCAAAATTCAAATAAGCAAGTGCAACATTTCATATGCATAAATATTACATAAATATTTATTACATAAATATTACATATACACGTCCCTACACACTGCTCCCCGGGCGCACAATGGCTGCCCACCGCTTCACTGAGTGAATGGGTTAAATGCAGAGAGGAATTTCCCCACGGGGATCAATAAAGTATACATTATTATTATTATTATTATTATTATTACATGTAAAAATATTACATTTGAAAAACATGATCCAGAAAATAGAAAAATGTGTGGATTACTGTTGAAAAAATGCCTTAAAAATGGCCGCTCAAGTAAACCTACATCTTTCCACAGCAACTAGTGGACATCCATGTTGTGATTCTTCATAAAGACGAGGGAGCTGGGCTTGGCTTTACCATTGCTGGAGGGTCCGACCTGGAGAACAAAGCTGTTACTGTAAGATACACACTACACATTTATATTACTGAATTATAATCTATTTTTTTCCAAAATGTTATTCTGTCTAATGTGAAATAAAAAGCATTGCAACTGTATTCACTGAAAAGTTGGCATTAGTTTAAAATGCAGTAGAAAAATGTGCAATCGAACCCTGTGAATATCCACTGAAAATAATGTTTAAAAGAAAACATGAAACAGTGATTGACAGCAATCACAGCAAATCAGGTCATTGAATTGCAAGCCCACATCAACTGATTGCTCAGCTGATATTCTGCGACATATTCAGTTGGCTTCACCAACAGATATATCCGTCACATCTGTTGGTGATAATGAGCCATACCATCCATCCATTTTCCTCCGTTTATCTGGGCCTGGATCGCGGGGGCAGCAGCCTAAGCAGAGAAGCCCAGACCCCCCTCTCCCCAGCCACCTCCTCTAGCTTGTCCAGGGGAACACCAAGGCATTCCCAGGCCAGCCAAAACATGTAATCTCTCCAGTGTCCTGGGTCTGTCCCTGGGCCTCCTCCCGGTGGGACATGCCGGACCACTGTACCCAGGAGGTGCCCAGCAGGTATCCTTGCCAGAAGACTGAACCACCTCCACTGCCTCCTTTCAGTGTGGAAAAGTAGCAGCTCTACTCCCATAGATGCCCCCCTGCCAATCTCCTGCTCCCCTCACCCCTCACTCGTGAACAAGACCCTCCTTCACTTGGGCAGCAACTCGTCACTGACCCAAAGTGGGCACTCCACTCTTATCCAATCCAAGGCCTCACTTGGAGGTGGTGACACTCTGCTGCGAGCCACTCCAGTGTAAACTGGAGGGAAGCACCCGATGAAGCCAACAGAACCACACCATCTGCAAAAAGCAGAGACGAGACTCTGAGGCCACCCAAGTGGAAGCCTTCCATCGCGTGGCTATGCCTAGAAATTCTGCCTGTAAAAATTATAAACAGAATTGGCGACAAAGTGCAACCCTGGCAGAGTCCAACACCCACTAGGAACAAGTTTGAGTTATTACCAGCAGCTGCATAAGAACTGAAAATGCTCATTTAAATTTTGAGTCTAATAAAAAATGTAATGAGGTAGTGAAGCTGTCATTTCAGGCTCTACTTTCTCTGATCCTTAGTGAAGGTAATAAGTGGAGTTGGGACTTCTCCTTATCTTGTAATTCAGCATTAGACGTTCTTTACTAATAGATTCATGTATTCATATTCATATTCAAGTAATCGAGTAAACAAAATCTGTTCATCTGTTTACCAGTACTCCGATACTTACTCCAATCTAGTCAGGATTTGTGTTATCCACAGTGTGTTGGTCAAATCTGGCTTTATTCATTTTTATACCAATCTAACAAAACAACAATAAAACAAATATGAAATCAACTTCTCCCAAACTGTGTTGAGGCTAGTTCTACCTGATCTCTGAATTTGCCGCTGTTTCCTACTTGTTTCTATGTGTCTCACTGATTATCTTGTTTTTAGGTCCACAAAGTGTTTCTCAGTGGCCTGGCAGCTCAGGAGGGCACAATTCAGAAAGGCGATGAGATATTGTCTATAAATGGACAAACACTGTGGGGTGTCACGCACACTGATGCCACCACTGCTCTGCGTCAGGCCCGGAATCTGAAGCTGGCTGTCGTTGTCATCTGCAAGAGAGTCGTGGAGGAGGGAAGAGAGGAAGGAAGCTGTAGGAGCGAAGAGCCAAATCCTGCTGGTCAGTCAGACAACTGGGAATACATTTATTATCCCCAATTTATTTTAGCAGAAATCACACAACCATCAAGCAAAATGCAATACTTCCAAAGAATTGGGGGTCTGTGCAAAATAAATAAAAACAGAATGCAAAGACTGCAAATATCATACACATATGTTTTATTCAAATATTCACAACAGAACACAGAAAACATCAAATGTTTAAACTGAGAAACATTGACAAAATGCAGACATAGCTCTGTAGGTTTGTCCAGGTCAGAATAGACATTTTTATTATAAATACTATGCAGGCTACATATACTCTGTGTCTTTGCTGTCGCAGTGGAGGAATGGGGCGCTCCAATGAGTGTGGAGCTGGAGAAATGTGCTGGTGGTGTTGGCTTTACTCTGGAGGGAGGAAAAGGCTCAATCCATGGAGACAGACCTTTAGTCATCAACAGGATCTTTACAGGTGCGCTCACGAAGCTGGCAGTATTCACAAAAACGTAATCACAAGTGTTTCTTTCGTAGTTTATTTTGGGGAAAAAACTGAGTTTGATTCCAAAAAAGAAGAGCAGTAATTGTAATATTTGGACAGTTATTAAAAAAAATGTCTTTTGGATATTTCAGGGGGAGCGGCAGAGCAGAGTGGTCTGCAGAGTGGAGATGAAGTGTTGCAGGTCCAGGGAATAAGTCTGCAAGACATGACTCGATTTGAGGCATGGAACATGATCAAGGCTTTGCCTGAAGGACCCATCACAGTGGTCCTCAAGAGGAGGCTGGGGGGTGCAGAATGACCGGCACAGCTTATGGGCACTGATTGAAGTAAAAAACAAAAAAACAAAAACAAATACCCCAAGACAAACAAACAAAAACAACAAACAAAAAAAACAGCAGCATACAGCAGCCTCAGCAGCAAACAAGGACACAGATGTTGGACTTTTCCTCTTTTTTGTTTTTTAAAAAATCTCATCAGGTTAATAATTCTTTTAGTTTTATACCAAAGACATTGCAATTTTTTTCATTTTTATGCAGTAATTTTGCATCTACTTACTTTGAATTTCAGAAGAAAAGAGTGAAATTTGACAAGTTGTTGCTTTTCAATCTTGTGGCGAGAAAAAGGAAACGTCCCACGTATGCAAACAAGACTCTAAAACTGTCAAATTGGTTAAAGAAACACACAAAACAATATTTCTCAGAATTAAAGGACAACTGCACATCTCGAGAAATAATACAAAACCCAGTTAATTGGCAAGGGTTTGAACACTGCAAGGTTCGTTTTGCTTTAACTTGCTTGCTTAATGATATTTGTACAGTAAAAGCTTGTAATGTGGCGACAAACAAAACCAATTTGGAGTCTGGAGGCAGCTCAACAGCTGCGGGTACCTGTGCCTGCCTACTGCTGCAGTAGCTTGACACTGAATCTTATTAAGAGATTCAATTAATTACAGAAATTGATATACTAGATTGAATTTTATTTTTAAATTAATATTATTAAAAAGAGTTTCTGTGCTCACAGTCTAAGTCATGTGCCTGAAATAACAATATTAATGGTAATTAATGGTCATAGAGATGATTAAGATGATCACTAGTGTCTTTGCAAATTTGTGAGGACATTTTTTTGCTCCATGACACCTACAAAGTTATGTAGCCTGTGTTTGTTACATCTAGAATGACAAGTGTCACCATTGTCCAAGCATATATGCAGTACATGAAAACCTGAAATTAGACACTGGACTACATTTGAAGTATGTGATAACAAGCAGTTTTACTCCCTCTGCCACCAATCAGGTCATATGAACAACTTCCTGTATCTTCAATAAATGGCTTTAATCACTGGGATTCAGGTGATGTCTGATTGTTTTCACTCCTACTTGCTACCACAGCTGCCTTTGAAATTGACAATCATTTGAGATTTTTGATGAAAGAGATTGAAAAAAACTACAGAAAACAGCCACAATAAAAGAAACACCGTTAACGATGCAACTGACCACAGCAGTCCTGTGCTGGGCTGTTATAGTGAAATTTGTCATGTTTTAGGTAAAGGTGTTTTTAATGTCTGAAAAACAATTATGCAGTCATAAGTAACAAATGAAAGGAACACCTTTTTAATGAAAGTATAGCACGAAGTCACTTAAGCTTCTTGGATTTTGATCTCGTCAGGGGGTTTCAGCTGCTTTGGTGTTGATGAAATTAACATCAGGTGCACTGGAGGGGCAACAATTCGACGACCCCCAAAATAGGAACAGTTTTACAGGCGGAGGCCACTGACATTTTGTCTTCTCATAGTTTCTGTTTTGTTTTTTTACCAGTTTTGCATTTTGCTAGGGTCAGTGAAACTATAGTAAGGGTGAAGTGAAACTTGGACCCTTGCACAGCTAGTCCAAGTCCTCCAAGCTCATCAATACATGCCATAGCCAGAAGGTTTGCTCAAGATTATGAAGGAAATTCCAGGAGACAGCCAGAGAACTGGACAGGTCCTAATGCATCAACGGGACCATCATCTGCTTCTTTATTCAAGGAGAAGCAGGATGAGCACTGGAAGAGCCCTACACAAAAATGTCTTGGATACTGACATTCACACCAGCAGGCCAATGGTGTGAATGTCTTTGACAAAACAATCAATAGCAGATTTCACGAGGGTGGCCTCGAGGCACCACAGAGCCTGAATGTGTTGGAAAACGTGAGAGCTTGAAGAATAAAAAGTGTAGAAAAAAAATGTTCTTGTATTCTGACATTTTCACTTGAAAAATATTTTCATAACTTTTTATGATATACAGTTACAGAAAAAATATTCACAAATGTGTTGATTGATGTTTTCACAAATATACTGAGAGCTGCATTCAAAGTTTACTCATATTCATTTATTTTTACTGATTACAACCACAACTCTGTGATTACAACCTCTCAAATCAGTGAATACAGTGGGGACTATTATACACGTGTCGGTTTGAACTTGGTTCATTAAAGTGTTGATAATTGTAGGTAATTGATCATAATGGGATTTTATTTGTCTATGCTGTCAGTTATGGTTCTTCGAAAGGAAATCCAAATTGGCAAAAATTGTCTTAATGCTGAAGAAATAAAAATTCCTAATCCATGTGTTCCATCAATAGAATTTGAAGAAACAAAACACTATAAATTAATGTGAAGCTGCAGTAGCACTTTATAGTGTCACACTATTAAGCATTAGCCTATTAGCAAGTACTTATTTTTTTATATGTAATTAATCCTCCCTAGTATGTGGTTTTGTATACTGACACCGTGTACAGCAATCACTGACACTACATCACTGCTAGCAATAATCATAGTCATGGTCATATTCATAATAATATAGCTGTATTTATAAATGGCATAATACAGTGTAATGCAATGTAAAAGGTGAATTAAGCTCTTGCTAATACCTTGATAATGCTTAGTATGACACTATTATGCATTATTATTAAGTGCTAGCAAAGTCCCCCACTCTGTCTTGAAAATGAAATTAGATTAAATTAAGATTAAAATCAGTGCACTTCCATTCAGAAACGTACGTTTGTCTTTAGGATTTATAAACTGTAACCCCTCCCCGTAAAAAACCCCAAAACACTGCAAATAGACTACTGTAGTTTCTACAGATTCAATTGAATGTTTGCTTACTTGTTAAAACAGAAAAAGATGAAATAAGCTCTTACCCATATTCAGCTATCCTCCATAATGGATCAGCCAATCAGAACAAAGCTTTGTCCAAATATCACGACGCGTACAGCGTTTATTAACATCTGTGATTTTTATCTCTTATATTCATCTTATAAATACCACTTATTTTTATTTTCTGTCTCACTTTCATTTCATCATTATGTTTGTTTCACGTGTGATGTTTACCGTACCTTGCCGATACTTCACCGTCACCGAAAATGTCCTTTTTCTTTTGAATTGGGTTGTAACAGTTTGATATCTTAAGCCAGTTACACAGCAGTTATTCTTATCATTCTGTCTTACACATGCAGTTACCTCATGCCACTTAAAATAGTTATTTTTCAAAACTTTTTACATCAAATCTGTCAGTCGTAGTTTTATAAATTGGTATAAAATTGACAACAAAAAAAAAGAAAAACCTTTTTACGTTTTCCTAAATGAAATATAATTGATTTGGTCATTACTGAACCAGTCTACCGAAGTTCCACTGTTGTTTCAGGTACTGTTTACCAAGAAACAGAATGGAAACTGTGCTTCAGAAAACACAGCCATGAAAGTCACAGGAAGACGCTTCTGCTCAGGTGAACAGCATTAAAAATATCCAATTTAAAGGCATTTTAGGTTCGCCAGAAGGAAAAAAAAAGTTTTGCTTACAAGGGCTCCCCACGAATTCCAATGTATACGTCATCGTTTTAGTATAACTGATAAAAGAGGTAGATATTCATCGTTTGCAGGTGAACAAAACCACAGGAATTCAAGTACAACACGAACAAGCAGGTAAAATAAGTATAGAAAATGTCACTCATTTTTTTAAGTAAATATTTGTAACAGTGCTACTGTCATGAAATTCTAACAGATGTCAGTAACAGCCCATCCAATCCACACATGCAAAGAAATCAAACCATAGATGTCAAAAAATGATGTGTAAGTATTGAACATGGTTACTGAAATTTATCCAGAAGCCTTTGTTGGTGATGGCAGCTTCAAGATGAAGAACTATGCATTGCTGGGAGTTGTGGCCCACTCTTCCCCATAAACAGTCTTTAAGCAGCAGATTCTTATCAAGAATGTCTCCGTACATTCCCCACACATCCTTCACTTACTTATGTGAAGCATGCCAGCACCCTAAGCTGAAAACACAGCCCCACACCTTGATGTTCCTGTCACCAAACTTCACCGTTGGTATAGCGTTTCTTGGATAATATGATGATGATAATAATTTGATAATTTTCCATAATTTCCTTCGGGATTAATAAAGTATTCTGATTCTGATGATCTCTATTATGGCATCAAACAGTTCAGTTTTGGTCTCATCTGAACAGACTTTATTCTCCCAGCATTTGTTTAAAAGTTCAGCAAACTTTAAACGTATTTCAACATGCTTTTTATTCAGCAATGAAGTTCCGCATGGTGAACATGGACACAGGCCATGGGGGTGGAGTGCATTCATTTTTTCTTTGAAATAACAGTACCTACTGATCCAGGTGTTTCTGTAGCTTTCTACAAGTGGTCCTTCACTGCTGGAAAACTCCTCTGATTATTCTTTTCACTCCTCTGTCTGAAATGTTGCAGGAATCACCTGGTTGTGGCTGGTTTTTGGTCAGATTATGGTCCCAACAGTGCTCACTGGAACCTTCAGTATTTTAAAACCTCCTCTGTAACCAGTGCCATCAGTATCTTTTGCAACAATAAAGTTGCTGCAGAGCATCATGAGATTCTTGTGTGACACCTTGGTAATGTTACTTTTTATAAGCCATCAGGTGGGACTGAACAAGCTCATATTAATTTGCTCTGAGTGGCAGGATTGCGTTATAATTACTGATGGATTTCAGGTGCAGTCATGACTTTCTTCACGTGTTTAACCTCTGGCCCTTTTTGTTATTATAAACAACTTTATGAACATCTATGGTTTGATTTCTTTGCATGTGTGGATTAACTGGGTTGTTACACACATAGTAAAAATTTAAGGGTCAATAGGAACTTTCGAAATATATTTACTTGAAACATCGGTGATGTGTTTCATACTTCTTTTACCAGCTGTAAATGTGAGGTATGAAGTTAAAACCAATAAACGATATCAGCATACGTTGACTAAGAGCCGTGCAATGTGCATGTTTACTATACACGCAAGTAAGAAGAGGAAATGTCTAATGCCACACTATTCTCATAAAAAAGGAATGTTTTTCATGCTTTTAACACGTGTACAAATACGTCTATGTTCGTGTGATCATCTGATAATCTGAGCTTGTTCGTTACTGTTGACTTAGACTGTTAAAAATGGCATGAACATCTGAACTACTCGTGAGCAGCCCTCAGGCAGGAATTGAACTCTTTGTGTCAAAAGTCCTTGAGTGATTTAACAGACTTGGCCAGGTTGCTGTAGAACTCCGCCATGCTGGAGGGGAAGAATGAGTCAACCACAGAGCGAGGGAGGTAGCCTCCTAGGTCTGTTTGGAAAAAAGTCAGCACCTGGGTTTTGTTGGGCTCTCTGGAAAAAACAAGGGGGAAAAAGAGAGAAACTTTTAACACACACACAAACGCACACAAATGAAATGCATTGTTTAGTTACTCACCCTGAGACGGGGACACAGATGCAACCACAGGGATGGTTGAATCCTCTCACGTAGCCAGACTGGGGAGCGCAGCTCGGGTGAATTGTATTGGTAGCTTTTTGATATCACACAAAAGATACAAGCACATAACCATATGAGTCTATTTATACCGGTCCATGTGAGAATAAATCAAAGATTCATAACATTTTTGAGAATATTAGATTGTAACAATGTAAACGTGCACTTTAACCTCATCACAATAAAAATGCTATTGCATGTCTCACGCATATGAACAGTAACCAGCATATTTTGCATCAGTTTGTTGCATTGTAGTTCCTAACGCTCCACTGATCACTGAAACTGATGGCGTCTTCAGAACAGGCTGATTAATGGCAAATGCTTCTGATAATATAGTGATTTTACCTCAGTTATTTTCTTCTATACATTTCTCTGACGAATGTCCTATTCATTTATTTATTATGTCTGTTTATGACCAGGACATGTCCTGCAACGCACATATTAAACAAATATGTAAGACTGCTTTCTTCCATTTGTGCAACATCTCTAAAGTTAGAAATATCTTGTCTCAGAGTGACGCTGAAAAACTAGTTCATGCATTTATTACTTCCAGGCTGGACGACTGTAATTCATTATTATCAGGATGTCCTAAAAACTCCCTGAAAAGCCTTCAGCTGATCCAAAATGCTGCAGCAAGAGTCCTGACAGGGACTAGAAAGAGAGAGCAGATTTCTCCTGTTTTGGCTTCCTGTTAAATCCAGAATTCAAAATCCTGCTCCTCACATACAAGGTCTTAAATAATCAGGCCCCATCTTATCTTAATGACCTTGTAGTACCATATCACCCCATCGCTGTCCCTGTCATGTGCTTCCTGTTTTATTTTTGATAGTTCTGTTCTGTGCTCAGCTTCTGTCCCCGTCTCGTCTGCCTGATTATTTCCAGCTGTGTTTCCCTCCAGTCTCCCATTCCCTGATTTCTCTGTTGTGCATTTTAGTCCTCTGTCTTCGCCTGCTCGTTGTCGCGTCGTACCCTCAATACGCTGTTTTTCCTTCTGTGCTCCTTGTAGTTTCTAGCTCTGGTTTCCAGTGTCTTAGTGTATATATTTACGTTGGTATTTCTAGTTCCCTGTTTTCAGGTTGTTTTCTGTATGAAGAGTTTTACAGCCAAAATAAAGCTGCCTTCTTCAGTTCTCTCCTTCGATGTCCGTGAGTCCTGCATTTGGTCCAATCTCCTGCCTGCCACACAGCGATTCACGACAAAAACTGAATTGACTTTATGGCCAGGGAGTAGGTCAGCTGCTTTAATCATCCAGTTACAGCCAGTATTTTCAACTCTACTGTTATCATGTCTTTTACAATAAAGTCGACATTTGTGATATCACTGTCAGGGAGAAAGTGTCCCAGACTGTTCATGCGCTGCATTGCGCAGGTAAAAGTCAACTGTGCATTGCACATGGACAGCACTGCTTAAAATAATAAAAAATGATTCATAAAGTTAGTTGCCTTTGCGTATACCACTCTGCTTCTGTGTCATACATCTTTACATCACCAAGTGTCGTCGTCTTTAGAACTTGGGCTGTCTGTCAGAGTGCTGTCGTACTGCTCTCACTTTACGAGCGTTCTGCTGTATACGGCTGCAGCAGCCCAAACGGCACACACACTGCTCCTGGCTGCTCCTCCTAAGGCTGTTTTATGCTCACCGTGTTGCTTGTGTCACATGGCGATTTTCACATCACATCCTGCGTTGCAAGACATCATTTTTGTGGCACGTTGGTCGGTCGTGCACCATTTATTTATTTATTTTTTTGCAGCCTGGTGCGTTGAAGAGAAGTGTACGATCGTGCAGGTTTTTTTAACCACCATTTTCAGAGATATACTGACACACAGAGGAAGATGTTGCAACCATTTACAAATTTGAGTTTGTGGAAGGAACTTTGCAAAAAACAACCACTTGACAAAGTCCTGGCTTCTGGTTTTAACGTCTTCTCGACTTTATCAGCAAGTATGATGCAATATTATCTGAGTGGCGATACCTATCATTTAGGAGAAAACTGCAGCGTCTGCTTGTGCCTTATCGGCGGGTATAAATGACTGCATCTGTGTGATGACTGTGGGGCGGCGAGCGAAGCAACCACTGCAGAGGGTATATGGGCACCTTAAAGGCCACAGTATACTCGCTGTAATGGTCGCGTTGCCCTCTGCCGACACCTCATTTCACAGACACTTGTATTTATACCCACCATTACGCTGCAGAAAGCTGCTGCGGTATATAAGAATATAGGTATAACCATAAGTGTCGCTACTCAGGCAGTATCACCACATAAGCTTTGATATGTTGTTATGGCCGAGGCTCGGGCCTCCATCTGTGTATCTGTACGTCTCTGAGCTTCTTTGCTAAAATGTAACTAAAATGGTGCAAAAAACCCTTCAAGATCAATCACTCGTTTCTTCAACCCAGCTTACAAAAACTGAGAGGTGGAGGACATGTTGAGTGGCACCGTAAACTGTGTGCCTCAAACTAACCTGACTTGGCTCTGACTCTAACCACATGATTGGGTCAGCACGGTGCTGAAGCAGCCAACGCTGTTCGTTTCTGTGCAAGTTTACAGGCGATCAGATAATTATTTCTCCCACGATTTATCCCAATCATCATAACATCTCAAAGAGCCATGGAAGTAAAAACGGTGCTTAAGTGCGCATCACAATCAACCTTAGAGAGTAAAAAAAGACAGAAGTACAAGAAGAGTGAGAGACAAACATTGAGTCATTACGCACCATTTGAAGAAATGCTGCCATCTTCGTATTGCTTAATTAAAATAACATCTACAAAGTCTCGTGGTGCTATGATGCCCATAGCTGCAGAGGGCGTGACTGTTCGGCAGATCGAGATGTCCTGCACAAGAGTGGACGACAAGGGGACGTACTCAATAAAGCTTAACAAAGAACAAATATGATCCACATTTTGATATCAGTTCATCCAGAAAGTATTCGCAGTGTTTATCATGTTTATCATGGTTCAACCTTATTCCAAAATGAATTTAAGTATTTTTTACCCCTAACCTCCACACACAACATCCTATAATGACAAAGTCAAAAAGTTTGCTTGAAATTATTGCAAATTTACTCAACCCTCTGTTTGCCAACCCTGCTCCATCTGAACATTTGCCAGTGTTCCTATGCTCAAGCATTCCTCTCAGTCACACCAGTTATCAGTAGCTCTCCTCTAAATCCGTGCACCTGGTAACCAACTGGATTAGGATACAGTGGTCTGGAAAAGTAGGCCCCAAGGACCTGAATAGAGCAACCTGTAAGAAGCAGTTAGCTATCAGTAAAATCACATACACCTTTGGATTCTGTGTTTGATTCTGTCATTTTTGACTAAAATGAAAGATGATTCATGTTAGGGAGTTTTTATTGTTTTATTTGATTATTTTTCAAATGTTATATCTCTAATAGCAAACTGACACACAGATAAACTCTGTATCACCTGTAGACATTCAGCACTTTTACCCTCTCTCAGATGTAATGAGAGGTAAACCAGGAGCACTTCAATGTCTTTCAGTCCCACCTGTCTCTTGACGGTTGGCCAGGTGATGAGCGTGCCATGTTTCCTCCAGATATGACATTTAGCATTCAGACCAAAGAGTTAAATCTTTGTTTCATCGTATCAGAGAATCTTGTTTCTCTAATCCGAGTCTTTCAGGTGCCTTTTGGCAAACTCCAGCTGTCATATGCCTTTTACAAACAGGTGGCTTTCATTCTCTCTCCACATAGCAATGCAGGAGAGTGAGTGGACTGTCACCTCCTTGACTAAGGATCAGATTGCTCTAGGAAGATAACTGGTGGTCCCAAAGTTCTTCCATGTACAGATGATGAAGATCACTGTGCTCACTGGGACTTTCAACGCTGCAGATTTCTTCCTGTACGCTTCTCCAGATCTGTGCCTTCATACAATCCTGTCTTGAAGGTCTACAGACAATTCCTTGGATTTTATGACTCGGTTTGTGCTCTGACATAGACTGTCAGAGGATCTTAGATAGATGTGTTCCTTTCCAAATCACGTCCAATTAACTGAACATGTCACAGGTGGAGATCTAAAAAATGATCAGTGGGAACAGGATGCACCCGAGCTCAGTTGTACCTGTCACGGCAAAGACTGTTAAGTTACTTTTGTTTTTCTATTTTTAATAAACTTGCAAGAATTTCAAGCAAACATTTTTATTTTATTTTTTTTTTACATTTCATCATTATGGGGTGTTGTGTGTAGAACTCTGAGGTGAAAAATACATTTAAGCCATTGTGGAGTGCGCCTGTAATATGAGCAAATGTGGAACAAGTGAAGCGCATAAGCACTTAAAACTGCACCAGGCAAGAATTTCATTTTAAAATAAAGTAAGTGACTTTTCCTAATTGGTCCAATTTATCAGTTTTCATTAACAGACAAACACGTAACCATGGCAAGAGATGTGAGAAGTGCTTTCATTCATACTACTTATTAATAGACGCTGGTTAATATAAGATTTCCAAATAGTTTTGAGGAAAGCAAAAACAAAACAAAACACAAAAAGCTGATGCAGCTTTAAATAAAATTAAAAATTGAATGACTTGATGGAACTTTAAAGAATGTGAGGGGAAAACTACAGTGGGGCAAAAAATGATTTGATCCAACTGCATTTATAAGTTTATTCACAAAGAAATGAACAGTTCCTAATTTTTGTGGTGGTTTCATTTTAATGAAGAGAGAGACAGAATAGTTACTCAGAAATGCAGAGAAACAACACATTACATAAAAGTTGGAAACTGATCTGCTTGTTATTGAGGGAAAAAGTATTCGATCCAAGCAAACATGACTTTGTAGTGAAACTCTTCCTGGTTGCCAGGTTTGCATGCATCTCAGGACGGGCTTTGGCCCACTCCTCTAGAAACTCTCTAAATTTGAAGTTTCAACTCGTTCCAGACTTTCTATATGAAAACGGGTCTGGAGACTGGCTGAGCCAATCTATGACCAAGTGCGTTTTGTCTTAAGTCGCTCCTTTATTGCCATTGCAGTATGTTTTGGATCACCGTCATTCTGGATGACTCATTTTATGGTACACAGACCTGCCCATTGGCCCCTCAATACAGTCAAACTGTCCTGTACCCTTAGCAGAAAAACAGTCCCAAAGCATAATGCGAACAATGCTGTTCTTGATGTAATGGTCCCCTAATCTGTCTTAATCATTAACAAGTTTCTCCCATGTAGCTGTGAACTGGTCCAGCACCTTTCTCATGATTTACCCATGAGGCAAGATCTTGCATGGACTCCCGACTAAGAGAGACTTGTTGTCATTTTATATTTCTTCCATTTCCAAGTATTTGCACCAACAGGTGTCATTTTCATCGATCTCATTTCATCAACACGTTGAGATCAGTAGTATGTTGTTGAATGACTAATCTGTGGGAGACTGAATTCTGATTGATTTGTATGGGATCAAATACTTATCTCAGTGAAATTCAAAGGCATGCAAATCAATTTATAACCTTTATGTGATGTGTTTTTCTGGATTTTTGGTTGATATTCAGTCTCTTGTTATTAAAGAAAACTACTGTAAATTGAAAAAAAACAAAAAACATTTGTTTTTGTGCAAACTTCAGCTTGGGATCAAATAAGTATTTCCCCCAGTGTGCATGAAAACTCTATGGTTAAATAAATAATAATAATGAAAATAATCACAAAACATTGTTTGAACAGAAAGGAGACAAAAAATAACACACCTCTGTAATTTGTTCCAGAACCTCAAACCTTTTGACATTGTTGTCCCATTTGACTCTGAGTCCATTGGGCACCGGTTTAAGACATTCCCACACTTTTTCAGGAGTGCCGTTGACAATCCCGTCACCCTTATAACTGCCAGTGTAATCAGATAATGGCACATAGTCAGGAGAGAAGATTATGAAGGCAGGACTACCACACTGTTGTATAAGAAAACAATTTGACCTACGCACACAGATAACAGAAGCAAAACATTCTGTTAGAAATGCCACTTGCAAAAACATTCGCATGCAGGTGATGCACTGAGCATTATTAAAGCTCTGCATTTAAGTATGTAAAGTGGACTCACTAGCTTTTCTGAAAACTGCAATGGCTCCAAACTGATTCCTTTAAATAGGAGCTATGAAATGATCAATTTAAAAAAAAAAAAATCTAATTAGAGAGCAGCCCATTTTTACCCTCAGTGCAGTTTTTCCTCCCATCTGTAACCAGTTTCTGGCTTAAAGAGGATTATTGGATCATTTTGTAGGGTCTTTACTTTATGTTGTAAAGAACATTGAAACAACTGTTGTTGTACACTTGTGCTACACGAATAAAAGAACTCTGCATAATAATACACTCTGATTTATGCAATGCAGTTCAGCTATATGCCAATTTTTAGGTTCACATCGTCATCAGACATTAGGATAAGTAATAATGATCTGCTGTAACTTTACAAGCTTTCATTATGAGGCCAGTGTAATGAAATAATTTATATTCTACACATATTTAAGCTCCTAAGACCCAAACTCTTTCATTTCGTTTTTCATTTCTCTTTGGGACCTGATGAATGTAAAAACAAAGAATTAGATGTTTTGGCTTTTTTTAATATTTGTTTCTGAGAAAGATGAGATCCACATATGAGGACATTCGCTTTAAATTTCAAAAGAACAGTGGTAGTTTTATGTCCTCGTACGTGGATATCAGGCCCCAGAGCAAAACTTTGTATTTTGGTCTAGACAACCCAAACTGTGATGTCCACATATGTGCACGCCAGGTCCTAGCTCTGCCCTCAAAAACAGACACAGATGTAAAACTGTCTATGTAGCTGGACTTAAGAAATAAACGTGCTTTAAAAACTTGAATCACTTAACGCCATCTTGTGGCAGAACAGAATGTGACATCATTGGGTTTGTTGGCTGGTTGCAGTCAACAGACTTGCACTGGTTTCTGTTAGCTAACTAGTAACATAACTGATAACTTGGTGGAAAATAAGAACACTAAAACTAAAAATCAGTCCCAGAGGGTCACTTTTGTGCTGCCCCTGGCAGTAACAATGAGTTAGTTTTATCTTAAGAAACTGAGTATATGCTGTCCACTGTCTGTGTCTCTTAACCAGTAAGTGGGTTCCTTATCGTTTGGCCAGCTGCACTGAAAAGGGAATTTCCACCATGAACTGGTAGATTCCCTTTGATACCTGCACTTTAAAGTCAAGAACACACACTAGTCTATTTTTTTTTCTGAGTTAAACTAGAAGTTGAATAAAATCCTCCACAGATAAATGTATGATTACAATTACTGATGAAAAGAAGTGCAAAAAACCAATATTCCAGGAACCCCAACAAGCACAAACGTTTTTCTGAGGCATTTCTGGTTTGACATGTTTAAGAAGTCACTATTATCCTTATGCCTGTTTTTATTCTTGCACCTGCACAGCAATGTTTTCTCCAGAAAAGCACTAATCTGTATATTTGATGTGTGCTTAATACTTCAGGAAACCAATAGTGCAAAAGAAGTGAAAAAAGGACAGATTCCTCACAGATTCCCCGGGAACTCAGACGAGGGTCGCCACGACACAATGACATCGTTCTGCCAAAGAAAACGGAACAATAACTGTGAACAGCATTTGGTTATACTGGACCGTGTCAGGTCTGTTGAAAACCTATGCAGAGAAATTTGCATGAAAAGAGTTACACATGTATATGACACACAAGTGTGTAAGATTTACAAGTGTGCACAGTGATTTGTGTGTGACCTTTGGGTACACACAAATGTGTGCTTCAATTCACATACAAAAAAAAACAATTTTACAAATGTGTCCATCCAAACTTGATGCACACATTTAAATTAAACAGCGATCATCTGCGTGCAACTTTTTTAATTGGAGTTGCACAAATCGAATCATTTTTCTTTTTAAAAGCTTCTTGTGCATACATGTGTCTAAAATACATGAGATCCACAAATGTATGTTATGTTCAAGTCCCATAGGAAAACTGTGACATCTGGGCTTCCACTCTGTTCCCGTTTCTTTTTCTAAATAAACAGACCAGTTCATCAACCCTCTATTAGAAAACATAGATTTACAAGTTACAAACCCCACACATTAACCTCTAAAGGTTAATGTTCTTCAGTCAGCGCGTAGCTGCAGATGGGGGACACTACGGTTGAATATCCCTGTGGCTCATCCTCTGAACTAGGTATATGCTAACGAATCTGTATATTTGAATATGGATAAACCAGGTAGTGTGGAACACTTTGATGTTGATCCTACTCTTCTTGGATAACAGCAGGCTAACACAGATATCAGCTTAATAACTAATGATGAAGTTTGTCATCTGAATTCATCACTAAGTTAAACGTTTTCTGCTTTCAGCTAGCATCAGCTTAAATAAACCCTGCAGATGATGATGAATTTCTACCAGTAGACTTACCCACAAGAGGCTGCTAGCAATCTGCCAGGTCTCTCCTAGCAGAGAGATTTACCTCAGTGTTACAAATGCATACATGATCTACAGGCGTAAAGTAAGATTTACACATGATAAATTTCTCTTTTTTCTATATTTAACAACTTTCTATCTAACATTCACGCACATCGATGATGCACATTCACACATCGATGTGCATCAGAGAATTTGGGGTTAGTATCTTGTCCAAGGATATTTGGCATGCACCTTGGAGCAGCCAGGTATCGAACTGCCAAGCTTTCGATTAACAGATGACCTGCTCCTGACCTATAGTCATGTACTGTACAGTGTACAGTGATTTCTGTCTAACGTTTGAGGACTCACAAATTCCAATCCACATACAAATACAAAGCAATTTGACAGATGTGTAAATCCAAACCTGAATTGTGATCATTTAACCTCAATTTTTAACTTTTATACAAATGTCTAAAAATAGAAGTAACAACTCACTTACAAAACCTTAAATGGATGTGCATGAATCGCCTGCTACTAGGAAACCATGACATCTGGACTTCCTCTGTATTCCTGTTTTTTTCTTTTGAATTTTTGTTAAATAAAGTAGAATGTCACCGCCTGCCAGAAAACAGAATTCATTTTGATTCGGCAGGCTCCTAACTGAGAGATGTGACCTGGAAGTATCTGTGTGGCAGCCTTAACAAGAGCTGTTCCAATTCTCCAAATAATAAAGAAAGGAGTTTCAATGCTTCCATTAGCAGAGGGTACACTGGGCCATCCTTTATGAAAAGGTGGGAGAGAACAGTGTCCCATAATTCATTGCACCAGACATAATAAACAATTGCTCAGATCACGGAAGTCATAGCATAAATTCTTGATATATTTAGAGTTTTTAACAACAGTTTGTTAAAGTCACAGCTGAACTCTGAACATCACGTTGGTGGAATAAAAACTGCTTGTTGAGTTGTTTCTCCATCAGCTGAAGATTATGATTTACATTCACTGATAAAAATGTGCTTAACGTTCTGTATAATCAGTGTTCATTGGTAACGCACTTTAATGTAGTTTTAGTCTTAGGATTTATTTTTTACTTCAGTATAAGTCAGCTGGGATCAGTGATGGATGGAGGGGATTTTACTGCAGTTACAGAAACTCTTAACAGGGAGGAGGAAAGAAGTTCCACTAAATGACAAAAGAAAAATATGAGAAAATAAGATTGATCTCATTTTATAGATATGGGACAGATTTACTATGTGAGGCAAATTACTGTCATGTCGCAATTGCAGGATGATCTAACAATGCACTGTAACTTCTGTACAGAGATGCAGGTAGTTCACTTCAGTGAAAACCAGCATTGTGACGGGAGAATGTGGATTACAGACTCAAAAATTCAATGCAAACTAAATTGCGTCTCTGAGAACAGCGAGGCAATTCAGATAAATGAGGCTGAAGGAGAATCGATATAAGAAATAAAATTCACAGAGTACTGTGCAAAGGGTTCAGAGGGTTGGGACTCAGTACAGATGTATCCAGAGGAGAGCTGCAGTAGGAACGCTTCCATACTATAAACCTACCTGTGTGAACAGCTGATCTGTACGAGTACGGAAAGTCCGGACTCCGGTACTGACAAACCACCAATATGTATTCTAGTCAGTAGTAAAACACACGTTTTACTTCTCTGTGGTGAATGAATGGGATGCAAAATGTTATAGCTAAGCTTTCAAGTTTGAAATCCCAAACTAACGTTTGTGAACTTTGAACTACCGACGCGGGCCACGTCAGTTAACCCACTAGACCAGAGAACAGCATGTATCTGGAAAATGTAGGGAAATAGTGTTGAGCTCATATGAGGATGTAAGAAACATTTACCGATTTCTTGCAGACTTTCCATCCAGACTCATCCTTCCTGTAGCTCATCAAGCAGTCGGCCACTGCTTTCGCTTTATGTTCAAAATCCATTTTTGGGAATAACAATGAATGTTGCTCACCTAATCCAAAGGAGACTGATTAAATAGCTGACGGGAAACACAAAACTGAAGTCACGCTGGATCTTAACAATACAAGTCAGGTCCAGCGGCTAAAAGTACCTAACGAAGGCTAGAAACGCAAACCCTGGTCAGGTTAGTGTGGACCGCCGCTACAAAGCTAGCGTTAGCCAGAATGAATGAGACGAGCTGCGCAGCGGCCGCATCGCGGAGCAACTATCTTCCATTGGCTTAGGGTGGTGTGACTTTTGTCCCTGCCTGATTCAAAGCATCAAAATTGTAATTTTGCACAATTAATTTCCCCAAAGTACAAACAAAGCACCGGAATCAGTTACTGAGATATCGCGTCATCAAAAACAATAAACTTCCGGTAGCTTTCAAAACAAAACACCTTTAAACCTTATTTAATTACTTTTCATTCATTCATTAAATGTTAACAAATAGATTTCAGTGAACTTTTAGAAAACGTGATTCCAGCATTCCCATGATAAAAAGCCCAGTGGCTTTTAATAAAGTGATATACTTTTGATTTAGGGAGCGCAAGCTCACATCTATCATATTTTGAAGTCCCTCAGTCCTCATAGAAATTTCTCCAGCTTCACACGCACCCGTGAACACCCTCTTCCGTGATTACAGCAAATTAAGCTGGGTATTTTTAGTCAGCTCGGATACAATTCTATCTATCCATCTATAATAAAAGGCAACCAAATGTAATTATTTAAGTTGTTTATGTTTTTATTGCTGATGTTACACAAGTAGACACATTCTTCTATTGTTCTTTGCACTTCCACAATAGCTAGTGCAATTATTTAACAGCATCAAAAGGATATGGAATCACACAAACACAGAAAGGAAATGACATTTTTGTGTGCTTTCAGTGCAGAGTGTCAGTTAATGCCTAATGCTACATATATTATTTAACAGAAACCAACATTTCAAACATTGGAGCAGACCAGATCGTTTGATTCAGTGATTTTTAGATCAAAGCTGGTTTTGGATTTCTTTTTGGCCATTTGTCCTTGCCTGGCTCCAGACTTCAAATAGCGCTCCTTGTTGTGGATAACCTGAATATACTGGTCATTGCTGCTATTCTGCTGGTCACTGCTAGAGGCCAGGGAAGCTGAGTCTGACTCAGTCTGCACATTCTCCAGCTTTTGCTTTGTCTTGGACTTCACATGAGGCTCAACATGCCTGGCCCGAGTTTGAGACAGATACTGTCTTCTCGGGGAATGAATGTGACATCTGGTTTGCAGAAGAAGAGGGTCAACTACTCTCACATTAGCCTGTGACTCAGAGTGTGACTCTTCATCTTCACAGGCTATTTCTCCTACTCCATTCTCCTCTTCATCTACGTCTTGAGCCCCATATCTTCCTTGAGCTGTGTGGTTTTCTTTAGATATAGTTATGTAGGTTTCTAGACGGTCACCAATGTAGAAATGTGCTGGCTGTTGGAGGTTAGACGGTGAGCGGGCCCGATGAGTTTTCCCTAGTGACATCTTTCTCCTGCCTTTCCCTTGGTCTTCCTCCTCATCCTCTTCACTCGGATGTTGCTGTGATGCGTGGGACTGGTAAGGACGTGGTTTACTGTGAGCATTGCGTGGTGTGTAGCGTCTGACATTACGTGGGTACAGTTCCATGATCTCTGTGGGTTCCTCCATGAAATAATGGCGTGGGATCCGTGTGGCTGAGCGCAGCAACTTTTTCCTGGGTTCATGCTCATTGACAATCACATAGCGGGTGGTGTGACCACGGCGTCCTCTATAACTCTGTGCAGTAATGATCCCAGCAGCTTCAACTGGATGAACAGAATGTACAGTCTTCCTGCACAAGGGGTCAGAGTGAATGCTGTCAGAACAGTGAGGTGGAGAATTGTATACCATGTGATGGTAGGACTTGGATCTGCAGGTACCACTAGGACCACCAAGAAAAGGTGGAGGCCTATAATGAAAAAGGACAACAATAACAATCAGCTTTTGTGTTACAGCAGATTACATTTCGTTGTTTTCCATGGATTACAAATGTCAGTGCTCTCCACAGAACACTAGTGTTGTCGAACAGGGGAAAATGATACTGTCTTTACATATCTCTGCCCCCTGATAAAATGCTGATTAAGGATTATTTAGCTGCAAATTAGGGCTGAATGTTTAATCCTTGTTATATCAAAATCAAGAGGCACTTGATTGGCAGCCGTTTGTAGTCAATGATTGACTAAAGTCTGGAACCCATGGACGATCAGTTTGGCAGCATTTCGTCGAATCTGCGTAGTATAACTCGGTTCCCTTTGCCACAATACAAACTTTGTCTCTACCATGTTTGACAGATAATTTAGCATGTTGTGGATCACGAGCTGTTCCTTTTCGCTGCCACACATTTCTCTTCTCGTCATTTTGGTACTAGTTAATCTTGTTCATCTGTCAAACATTTTTTTTTTCAGAAATATGTCACTCTGTTAGATGTTTTCTGGAGAAGTCCTGGCCCTCTTGTTCTGGTGTAACCAGTGGCTTGCACCTTGTTGTAAACCCTCTTTAATTTTGGTGTCTCTTGCCTTGAGAGTGTTCTTGACTTAGCTAGATGTTATGCTTTTGTTTTTCTAAACCATGGAAATCATTTTGTCATTGTTCACTTTCATTGTCTTCCTGTGGCCTTTCAAGTTTCTTGGTGTTGTGAGTGCCTTCATTCTTATTTGATTGTACCAAAGTGTTGATTTGACCGTCCCTAAACTTTTGGAGTTCTTTCTAATATTTGTATTTTGTTTTATCGGCCCAGTGATAGTCTCCTGTCTTTGGCCCTCATATTTAAAATACAGTTAAAAGCTTTGAAATAATTTGAAATTCACTACTATGGTGCACAGAGGCAAAACTATAAAAGAATTGTGTCAATGTCCAAATACTTTGGGGCCTGATATATACATATTATTAATAGTATCTCTATATACATGTTAATAAGCTGACTTTAGGGGATGTGGAAGAGGCAGAGACACATACTAGCAGGATGCCATAGTCATGACTTAATGTTTTATGTCTTTGCATGAAAAATTATAGACCTATTTTTTTAGATTATAGTGAAATCTATACAGATTACAGATTTACATAATGGGCAGCATGAGAGAAGTTCACTTCTGAAATGTCATAGGTTAGAAATAACAGTTAATCTTTTAAATATGTATAAAAGAAACTATTTGAATTGCTTGATCATTTTTAATTTACGTTTTTTTCGTTACCAATATTTTAAAGTGGACATCAAAAAGAAACTTTCTCAACAGGCTGTATATGTTTTACCAGGTTTGACCAAGTCTGAGTTCTTCCATTGGCAAACTAGACTGAGACTTTATCAAAACATATCATTAGGCATCGCTCCTGGCTATAATTTCACAGTGAATATATGATACAGGAAATTTATAACACAGTTTCACTATATTCAGCCTTTAAGAGGTCCCCTAAAGTAAACCTGACTGGTTAAAGCAACATGTCAGTGTGTGAGACCTGTTAGGAATGTGCTCCAGCCAATGTTTGGGCAGTACGGTTACTGCTGGACTTCTGATAGATCCGGCCACACTTCCTCTGTTCAGGTCTCCTCTAGATACTGATTTCGTGATGGTGCGGATGCAATTCCCACGATGAACAGGGGATTCAAAGTTTGTGGTGCTGCTATTCTGACAGGGAGATGGGGTGTGGTTAGAGGACTCTTGGCTGGCGATGTTGTTTTCCTCATGATCTGACTTTTTGTCTGCAGCAGCCTCTGGAATCTGTAGTCTCGCTGTAAAAGAGCGATACAGTGGTGTGAAAAAGTGTCTGCCCTTCCTGATTTTCCCTTTTTTTTGTATGTTTGTCCAATTAAAATGTTTCAAATCATCACACAAATTTAAAAATTAGACAAAGATAACACAAGTAAACACAAAATGCAGTTTCTAAATGAAGGTGTTTATTATTAAGGGTAAAAAAATATCCATACCTGTATGGCCCTGTGTGAAAAAGTTAAGCCCTTAACCTAATAATGGGTTGGGCCAGCAGTCAGTTGGGCCTTTATTGCTGCCTCGGGACTTGTAATACTTGCTGTGATAAATGGAACCATGATTTCTGCTGTCTACCAAAACATCCTGAAGGACAATGTCCAACCATCTGATTGTGACCTCAACCTGAACTGCACTCCTGCAGCAGGAAAATGATCCAAAACAAGTTTTGAAAAGTCCAGCAGCGAGTCCATGGCGTAGAACAGCGGTGTCCAACTCCAGACCTCAAGGGCCGGTGTCCTGCAGGTTTTAGATGTGTCCTTGATCCAACACAGCTGATTTGAATGGCTAAATTACCTCCTCAACATGTCTTTGGCTGTATCCCAATCCAGGGTCTGCAGCCTTAAAGGCCGCATTTTAAGGCCGATTACGTCACAGCAACGCGACGAAGGCTGTCCCAATTCAAAGGCTGCTCGAAATGCGGCCCTCAAATGCGTCCTTCATTTCACTGAATTTTAAGGATGTGGCGGTGTAGACTTTGTGGCCCAACATATCCCAGAATTCATAGCGCGGCGGTGGGTGTGGATAATTTTGCCAGAAAAAGAGGGCCGGCCGAAGAGTAAACTTTAAAAGTAAGTAGTGAATATTATGTCACTTATTTATGTGCGAGTGTTTAATAACGAAGAACATGAAAACATTACTGTTGGCCACATGTCGGCAAAGTTATGCGACATTAGTGACGTTTGGGCAGGGATAGCTCAGTAGGTAGAGTGGTGGCCCCATGATCGGAAGGTCGGGGTTCGACTCCACTGAACGCTACCCTGAGGTACCCCTGAAGCAAGGTACCGTCCCTACACACTGCTCCCTCGGGCGCTACACTGCGTGGCTGCCCACTGCTTCACTGGGTGAATGGGTTAAATGCAGAGGAACTATTTCCCTATGGGGACTAACACGCACACTTTACTTACACTTTTACTACTTGGTTTTAAAGCCTTTACTTTAAATATACGCGTTCAATAGTTGCCGTTAATCTTACAGAGAATGTGATGATTTTATGGATATTTAAATAAGCACTGAGACAAATTTAGTAATGCCAACATATTAAAAGAACAATATTTGTCTCTCATATATATAACACAGTTATATATACGTGTCAAAGAAACCTGTCTTTGAGTGAAGATTTAAGGTGACAGGAAATATAAATAGATATAAATAAATGCAGCTTGAATCTTTACTGAAGCTCAGTATCTGAAACAGAGTTCACTCACTGCTGGATAACTAATAATGATTGAATTAATAACTTATCATATTGGCCATATTATATTTACATTACCAAAGTGAGATGACTTTAGTCTCATGAACAACATTGAGCTAATTGTTATTTACTAGCTAATCTTAAAATGACTGTTCAGTACAGAAATGAAGCCCAACAATCATGTTTTACAGTCCTGTGGTCTCAGCCTCAGATACTTATCAATCACACAAAGCTCATGTAGAAACAAATGACAAAATATGTTCTCCTCATTTCTGTCACAACAAAGCTGTATGAAACGTTTCCAGCTTTAGTATAGGTTGTAGGCAACCTGGGCAGCGCGAGGAGGCTAGACCGTCCCATTTCACAAGCCTACAAGCCGACTTCCGGCCTTAGCAGTCTTTGAGTACGGCCCTTGAGGACCGTTAAGGCTGCAGACCCTGAATTGGGAACAGTCCTATTGATACGTTCCATGACGTATAACATCTTTTTGGTGTCGTGCACGTGAGTCTAAACCTGCAGAGACAACTGGTCCCTGAGCGTCTGGAGTTGACACCCCTGGCTCTAGAAAAAACAAAATGAAGACTTTGGAGTAGGCCTAGTCTAAAGTCCTGACCATGAATCATGACTGAGATGCTGTGGCATGACCTTAAAAAGGGTTCATGTTGAAAACCTCCAAGTGTCTGAATTACAACATTCGCAAAGATGAGGGGCCAAAATTCCTCCACAGTGCTGTAAAAGACTCATTGCAGTTATGGCAAACATGTGATTGCTGCTGAGGGTGGCCCAACTCGTTATTAGCTTTAGGGGGTAATCACTTTTTCACACATTGGATTTTTTCCCCCTTAAAAATAAACACCTTTAGAAACTGTATTTTGTGTTTACTTGTGTTTTATTTTTAATATTTTTATTTGTTTTATGATCTGAAACATTTAAGGGTGACAAACATACAAAAAAAGGTCATCAATAAGGAGGCAAACATAGAAGACGAGAGATACCTGCAGCCATCTGGAAGACTTTCTTCTTGTCTTCAGTGCGCTCCTGAGAAGGTTTGAAAAAACACTGACTTCAGACGCACACCATTATACTATCATTATGTAATGGCCAGTTTAAGGCTGCACTATATATACGCAGTGACATGACAGAGTATTTGCTCCCTCCGTTCTTTTGCATATGTGTGAGACTTAAATGTTTTAGGTCAAACAAATTGTAATACTGACAACCTGAGTAAATACAAAACACAAATGCGTACAGACAGTATTTATGTTTACAAAATTAAAAATGATAAACATTTCCACTCCCCCTGTGTGTGGTCTTCATCCTTCTAGCTAAGGTCCTCTAACAGAGACCTGGGAGGTTGACGGTCCTTCACAATATCTTTGTTCCTTCCCAACTGAGGGTACTGCTCCTTGTGACTGTTTATCTTGTAGTCAAATATCTCACCAATGATATGTTTATTGCCTGAATTGACACCAAAAAAGCCTGAATGCTGCACACATCAGAATCAGAATCAGAAAGACTTTATTTATCCCCAAGGGGCAATTAAGAGGATACTTAATTATGGATACTAGGGTGCTTGGCACTTTAAAAGGCTAACAGTGTACTTAATGGGACTTTGGAAGACAAAGTCAAAGACAATCACAGAGGTCACCATCAAGTGTGGGCATACCAAGGTGATGCCCACTTCTGGATAGGCCTCAACCCTCTAAAGCAGTTTATCAGTAGGATTGGATAGGAATATATATTTAGGTCTGGAGTGACCATCAGCCATCTCCTGTACAAAGAAATTATGATGTACACCAGGAGGTCCACTTCAGCATCTACTGTGAGGACATCGTGATTTTATTCGAACTGGATAAGTTTGGTTGAAAACAGAGGAAAGGTGATGCAGACTATTAAGCCAGAAAGGAGAATAGCAGATACAGTACAAGTGCCTGGGTATCCCACAGGCCAGTGGGAACCATGATAAAGATGCAAAAAGGTCAGGCACAGCCAAATACCTCCAGAAGGTAAGATAGGTGCTGAGAAGGCAGCTAAACAGTAAGAACAGAATCCATGCCATCAGTAGAGATTCCCTACCAGTTATCTGAATAAAAAGCTAGCTAAAAGAGGAGACGGATGCCGCTAATGTGAAGATACAAACATTCCTCATAATGTCCATCCAATCCACATGAAGTCCAGGACCTTGAGGCTCTATGAGCAGTAAAAAGAGGGAGTGAGGATTAGTGACTATCAAAGTCACCATCCAGGATATAGCATAGAACATGTGCAAACAGATCAGGCCCATCAAGACAGACAGTGATGCAGAACAGGACCAGGAACCATTATAGATGACCAAGCTTATGCATGGGATGTACCTTTGAAAGGCGGAGGAAGTGGCTGACATGAACAAATCCCACAGTTGCTGGGAAAAGCTGGCTTAAAGGACAGCACAGAGGGATGGTGGTGGTAGATCCACAGGAAGAATCTACTACAGACAACAGGACCCAAGTTAGGGTCTGCAAAAGGTACTTGAGAGACAATCCAGCAGATCCCAGGCACAACATCAGATGTCTATGTCCAGAAGGACCGAGTCCCAGGAAAGATACTATATGTTTAAAATGCTATCTGGAAAATCATTTGTTCTGTTAAATAGCACTTGGGAAATTCTTGACAAAAACTTTAAATTTCATAGAGGGGCTAATAACTTTGTCCTCATCTGTAAATGCCTTTCTCGCTCTTATTTTTATGTGAAAAATGCTGAAAGTGATTCAACTTACAGTCTGGAGCTGCATCCTTAGCTGGTTGTTGGTGAATTTGAGGGATCTGGCGATAGACTGGAGATAGTATATCAGCATGCTGAAACACAGTTGAACAATTCACAAGTCATGTAGGATACAGATGTTTGCGTATTTGCATATTGTGAGTGCATGTGTATATGTGTGTGTGTGAGAGAATTAGAGAGAAATTGTGAGTGAGAGAGCGCATGTATACGTGACAGATATATGCAATATGTGTCGTGTGCAGCCTCACAACAGCAGCAGCAGTGCTGGCAGTACGACGACAGGACTGGTGATGTAACTTATTACTTTACTGAACCACACCGGGAAGTCAGTGGCCACTGTCTCAGAGATGATGTCGTAAATCTTCTCTTGACCACTGAAACACAAATTTAAGCATTTTTCTTTGTCTGAACACTGAAACACAACCACACAAGAAGGGGAAAAACAAAAGAGCTGCTAACTTCCACATCGATGGAAGCAAAAATAATGCTGAATAAAATATATACAGATGCATGACAACATATATTGCCATCCAGTTGACAACTTCAGGGAAGGCTTTGCTTATTTCAGCAAGACAGTCCAGAACATTCTGCATCCATTTCAATAGTATAGCTCCAAAAGGGACAACAATGGGCATCGCTTTCAAACTGCAGCAACTCGTTCCAACAAGGAGACGCAACACAGAAGGAAATGGAGATGTTTTAATGTGTATCTGGCAATGGAGTTTAATCAACATTTCATATGAATT